AACAACAACAACAACAACAACAACAACAACAACAACAACAACAACAACAACAACAACAACAACAACAACAACATCATCATCATCATCATCATCATCATCATCATCATCATCGCCAAGCATGACGATATGCGGCAGCAAACTCCCCACGAGCATTCTACAGCAGGCCTGTGACGCTTCTTGCGCGTGCACAACCCACCATTTCCTTGACGCCAAACACGACGACGGCGTCAAAGTCACACACAGGGAACCTCCACATATCTTGCCGCTGCAGTGCAATTGGGGGACGAGAAGAAAACGCAATCAGATCAGTCGTGAGTGCGGTGATGAGTGAGCAAGTGCGAGCAAAAGGGGTAGGTCGGTTGTCGGTGTGGTCCAACAAAGGCCAAGTTTGCATCTCTACCACAAACGACGTAAGGTTCCACGTGCCGGCTCGCAGGGACTTGAGCCTGTGGATGAAATTGTGAACGAGGATGAGCGGGCGTGTCAGGGTATGTTTGCGTAAGTGTGCGCGAGTGAGTGAGTAAATCTGGCCCTGAGTCAGTCACGGTACATGAACGCCAGCACACGCACACACACCCGCACACACACACATTTTCTCACCCTCACACACACACACCCGCACACACATTTTCTCACCCTCACACACACACACACACACACACACACACACACACACCTCGACACTGCTACGAGCCATGGGTTGAGCTCCACGCCGACAGTTGAAATACCTACATGCTTTGCTACCTATGGCAGACACATGCAAACGCACATAAACACAACGTCACACGCATGCGCGCATGCTTGCATGAATTCGGTTAGTTGGGCGCACAGTTCGACACGAGGGACTCTGTGGGCCCAACACACATTTCGTAATTGCGGTCGCTGGCGGGACGTACTTCGATTGGGATGCGGCCATCCCCAGATCCAAGATCAAGCAGCCGCCTGCAGTTGTTTTGCGCGCATATCCGGGCAATCGTTTTCACCTGTTGCGCCCAAAGCACGTGGGAGGCAGAGAGGAGAGGCGTTCGACAAGCGTGGCAAGGGTTCAGCGAACAGGTGGACAGGTGGACATGTGGACGTGTGAGTACGAAGGGGAGCAAGGCAATGTTACAAGCAGGTGCACAAACATGCTCACAGACACACACACACACACAAACACACAAACACACAAACACACAAGCACACACACACTGTCTCCCACACAGACACAGACACACGCAAACTCAAACACACTCACACAAGCACATAAGACCGCACGCACACACGCACGTGAAAAGCTGTGGTTGGAATGAATGGGGGCGAGTTGGACCGCAGGCCAGGCGCAATGAATGGCGCCAACACAGCTACAAGCGCAGCCACCGTCGAGCCAACAGCAACACCAGCCCACACCCCACCACGCCGCCACCGCCCCTCGCCATCACCACGATCACCACCACTGCCAGTGTCCTGTTTGCGGCCCATCGATTCTTCGCGAACGCCGCCGCAAGTTTTCCACAACCGCCACCGACTATGGACACGACGACAACAACACAGCAACGCGCGCTCTCAGCAGACGCCACCAGCATGCCGTACGGTGGCAGCGGAACGCACACCCAGGTAGCGCAAGACCAACAACAACAAGTCAGCAGCAGAACAACAGTCACACCAACGGCAGCTGCAACAGACGACGTTGTGGCACGACCATGAGAACGTTCAGGAGGATGATGACGACGATGACAACGTGGACGACAGCAACAACAGTGGCGCGTCCAGCGACGGGAGTGTGCCTGACAGCGATGATGATTTGACAGCTGCTGAGCAGCGTTCCTTCATGGCGCAGTGGATGAAACCGCGCACCAACCCAGGCATCCGTGTCGGCCCAGAGTTCCAGGCATCCCTCCCGCCACCAAACCCAACTCCTTTCTCAGGTGAGCCCCGCGTGTGTGTGGTTGGTTGTTTGTTTGCTTGTCTTGTGTGTATGATTGTATCTGCAAGTTTATGTTGTACGCAATCCTGTGTGTGCGCGCTGTTCTGGCTCTTTGTGGCTCCTCTACACAGCAGCTCCATGTGCTTGAGCACACAGCGGTTCTCTCTACTCATGCAAACCACGTTGTTGTGCATTACACTCGGTGTACATTCACTTTGCACCACTTGCTTGGCACACGCACACACACACACGCACACACACACACACACACACACACACACACACACACACACACACACACACACACACACACACACACACACACACACACACGCACACACGCACACAGCCAAGCGTGGCGCTGACAGTGGCCAGGAACGCGCGTCCAGCTTGCAAGCAAAGCAGCCCAAGACATTCACTTCGTAACCACCGATACATGTCCAGGTGCTGATTTTGATGATGGCATGGCGTCAAGGCGAGCGCGTCTCTGCGTGTCGACAGCTTATTTGACACACCCACTGCTTCCACGAGCAGGCTGCCCCTCTTTTCTTGTTCATATCAAACCCGTGTACATTCCACGACGTCACTTTGTAATTGAACCCGTCCCTTCCTGCACCCTCATCCCATTACCTCTCTTCTCTCTTGTCCTGTTGACGCCTGTTTTCCAACGCCGCTGAGCTTCAAAGATGCTTGCAGCGTCTTTGCTTGTCGATGGTGTAACGAAGGCGTTCAATGAGATGAGTAAATGGCGCTATGGCGAAAAGAACCGGTGTAACCATAGCCATGTGAATGCAAGAACCATCATTGTGTGTGTGTGTGTGTGTGTGTGTGTGTGTGTGTGTGTGTGTGTGTGTGTGTGTGTGTGTGTGTGTGTGTGTGTGTGTGTGTGTGTGTGTGTGCACTAAGGAACGCGCGCCTCTTTCGCCACAGCACTGTTGACCAGCAACGGCTGCAAAAGCGGAGACCATCGCATCACTTCACACCACTGCACATCACACAGTGTCGCATCACATCACATGACACACGCGGAGTTGCGGTAAAACACAAGAACCCCACCAAAGCCACTACGACTGCCACTGCGGCTGCGGCACAGCGCGCGGCAGGGTGTTGTTGAGCAGCGGACGAGCAAAGCCGTCATAGGAGTACGGCTTGCAGGCGGGCTCCTTCAGGCCCATATGGGTGCATGGCAGCGCGGCCGTGATGAGGCGCCCACTCTCGTGTAGCGTACGCAGGCCCACCCAGTCCTCCTCATAGCCCTTGGTCTCGTTCCACGGCACAACATCGCTGTCGGAGTTATTGGCGAAGAAGGAGAACAGCGGGCTGGACTGCGGAATGACGACAGAGTCCTTGGTGGCCATGGACAGGGCGAGGGTGTTGAGCTGCACCATATTGCGGCGGTATGTCGCGTTCTTCTGCTCCCGCTCGTTGTTGATGTCTGCGAGGAACGTGTTGGTCTCCAGATACACGGTGTGGTTGAATGGCGGGCGCCAGTACCCAGCGGGCGCTGGCGTGTGTGTGTGTGTGTGTGTGTGTGTGTGTGTGTGTGTGTGTGTGTGTGTGTGTGTGTGTGTGTGTGCGTGTGTGTGTGTTGTTGTTGTTGTTGTTGTTGTTGTTGTTGTTGTTGTTGTTGTTGTTGTTGTTGTTGTTGTTGTTGTTGTTGTTGTTGTTGAAGAAAGGCGTTGGCGGATGGGAAAAGATGTGAGTGGGAACATGCGCTCTTGTGCCGTAGTGCACATGTGCGGAGATACACGGGCAGACACAAGAGAGAGACTGCCATCGAGAAAGACAGATGTACACACACACACACACACACACACACACACACACACACACACACACACACACACACACACACACACACACACACACACACACACACACACACACACACATACACACACACACACACACACAGGCACACACACACACACACACACACACACACACACACACACACAGAGGCATACACAAAACCAACCTTCCAGGTGTTTCATATGTGATGCATCCGCCACAAGGCCATGCATCAGCACAACAGGGCGCCACTGGGTGCCATTGCTCACAGCCCCAGCAGTGGTTGGTGCCGTTCCAAGTGACACCACCACCACCACCACCGCCACCAACACCAACACCAGCTGCGTCATGACCGTGTTGTTGTTGTTGTTGCTGTCTTTTTGTTGTGTTTTTGATGTGTTGTGAGTTGATGCTTCACTGTCACGTCTCACTCCCCCACCTCACCATCACCACACACATCATCCAGTCATTCGCGCCCGTTCATTGGGGTTAGGCGGTTGAGGCATGCCTCCAAGAAAAGGAACGGCCAGGGAACGAAAGCAACGCGCATGTGATGGTGGTGAGCAGGAAGAAAGGTGCTGGTAACAGGAACCCACCACCATCACCGCGATTGAAACGAGAAAGAAAGCAAGACGATGAAAAAACGCAATGTCGTCCATTGCAGCATGGCCGTGATCAACGCACAGAGTGGCAGCTGAACAACAGGAGAGCGACAACGCTGTGTGCTGTGCAGTGACGTTCGCCCACGCGCACACGGTCATACGCACGTCTCGTCTCCAAGATGGAAACTTGCCACCATGCACGCAAAGCACAAACCAAATCAATCAATCAATCAATCATCAATCAATGACTACGCTAAACCAACGCACACACGCACACACGCACACACATGTGCACGTACAAGAAGTGAACGAATGCGTGTCGAAAGGGAAGAAAGGTAACGTAAACGCGCTTCTACCAACAGAAAAGAACAGGGCAACACACCATCAAAGGAGGCAAAAGGGAAGAAAACAGGCAGAAGAGAAAGTGCGTACGTGTGTATGAAACAACACTTGAGTTGGCTAGCAGATACATCCATCGCCAGCAGCATTCAAGCACCAACGATGATCCATTCAACAAGCAACATTCATTCATTGCCATAAAGCGAGTGCTAATCAAAAACAGCTGGGAGAGGAAATCAATCATATTGTCATGGAAGGTGACAGCAACAACCACAGTCTGGGTCGTGTGTACATGTGTGTGCGAATGCTTGCAGATGCTTGCACACGCGTGTGCATGTACGGCAGTCGTATGGCACACCGCTTGTCGTCTTGGAGCTTGATTTCCTGTCTTCGAGGGCTGCTCGTGCTTCGACGGTGGCAGGTTACTACTGCTGGGTCCCCACCCCCGACTCCGTCTTCATGCGCTTGGTTGGCAGCGTGCCATCGTCACCGTCATCAACAACGGCAGCGGCAGCGCTGTTGCTGCGAGTCGGTCTGTCCTCATCTTCGCTTCGCGCCTGCATCTTGGTGGTGCTCATGTTGGCAGCCACACGCGTGCCAGCCACTGCACCACCATTGGCACGCGTTGCCACAGCGACGACACGTGGCGCGTCTGCGGAAACCCCTGTGCCCCCGGTGTTGGTGTTGCTGTTGTCGTCGTCGTCCTCATCATCAGGATCGCTGCTGCCTTGCATATCACCGTCATCTCCATCGTCGTGGTGGTGGTCGTTGTGGCGGTTGGCGCCATCTTCCACGCCATCATCAGAGCCCGCGGCGTCACCACGTTCGCCGTCGCCGTCGCCGTCTTCGTCTTCTTCGTCTTCGTCAGCATGGCTCTCGTGCTCATCGTGGGTGAACACGTCCTCGCCAGCATCCGTGTCAGCAACACCGGGCTCGTCGCTGCCAGACGCCTGCTGCGCCGACGACGACAGCTTGATCCACAGCGCGGGCAGCGGGGTTGTGTCGCCAAGCGCCTTGCGGATGGCGCCGAGGCACTGGTGCAGCGACTGCACATGCAGCATCCACGCTGTGGTGACCAATGGCAACAGCAGGTGGTGGCAGGTGGTGGTGGTGGACGTGAGTGAGGAAAGGAAGCAAAACGAAGAGACAACAGATGGTTTTGGGGGGGGAGGAACCAAGCATCAGGCTTTGAACAAAAGGTACGGCATTCTGGCATTCTGAACAAAGGATACCCAGTGACAGGAACAGTGACGGTGATACACACACACATACACACACAGGCACGGTGCAAGAGTGACACACCTGTCTCTGCAGACTTGCACTCCTTGCGGTAGAAGCGGCAGCTGAGGATGCGCTTGAGGCGGGAGCGGCGCGTCTTCTTCACAATCTCCGGATCCTCAGCAGCAAGATCCTGCGTATGTGTGACAGCAATTGGTGAGGAGGACAGAGGTAGCAGCGGTGCTCAACATGATAGCAAACCGCACAGGAGCAAGCCAACGACGGGCGAGGGGAGCGTATCCCACACAACACGAACGCTCAATTGATCGAACATGCCAGTCAAACACACACACACACACACACGCACACACACCTTTTCAAATTGCTGCTCAGTGTACGGTTTGCGAGGGTAGGGGTCGTGGCCCTTGCGCCAAGAAAGCACATCCTCGAATTTCTACAGCGCACACGCCATTGACAAGTGCCATGTGTCGTGAGGCACGTGGGTCTGCTGACGTGCAGAAGAAGGACAACAGGTCCAAGCGCAAGCGCAAGCGCAAGCGCGCGCGCGCACACACACACACACACACACACACACACACGCACACACACACACACGCACACGCACACACACACACACGCACACACACACACACACACACCTTTGCGATGGTTGCGAGGTCGGCCGGGCTCAGTGCATTCTTTTCCATGTGGCACATGTCGTACAAGTCACATGCCTGTCACCACACAGCAGCACAGTCGTGAGTTTTTTTTTTTTTTTGGGGGGGGGGGAGCACAAAGTACGATGCACGCATGCGGGTGGCGTCTCTCCACCCACACATGTTTCTGCATCCACAGAGTTTGTCCTTTTGCAACCAAACCAAAACACGGCAAACCAGCACGGCAGCCGTGGGCACACCTGCTTCTTTGCCTGGTCAAGAAGTTCCTTGCGGCGGCGGCGGTACTTGGCGCTCCTGTTCTGGGAGGTGAGGTCCTTGACATTGTTGCGCCGGGCGCCAGGCATACCCTGCGGTGACGAGTTGGTAGCCGCAGCCGCAGCCGCAGCCATAGCCTGCATGCTGGCAAGCAGCTGCTGCTGATCAGGGCTGTAGGCATACATGCCCAAGGACATTGCCTCTGCGGGCAGGTGCGGGGTGCCAGGCATGGCGTAAGTGTAGCTTGTGGCCGTGCCGCCCAACATGGACTGAAGGTAGGGGCCAGTCAGCATCGCCGGCATGGCAGGGGGCATGCTGCTGCTCGTGGGCGCCGCTAGCACGGGCTGAAGCTGCTGCTGCTGCGATGGCTGCTGCTGCTGTTGGGATCGCTGTTGAGGCTGCTGCTGTTGAGGCTGTTGGTGTTGTTGAGCAGCAAACTGACGCAAAGCTAGGGGGTTGTATGGCCAGAGTTGTGCCGTTGCCGGATCAGCCCCACCGGGCCGGTCCTGCTGCTGTTGCCCTTGGCCCAAAGTGGCGGCACCAGGCGTGCTACTGGACATGATTGCGGCCATGGACGGGGATGGCTGCTGCTGATGTTGTGGCTGTTGTTGCTGCTGCTGCTGTTGCTGTTGTTGTTGTTGTTGTTGTTGTTGTTGGCCAATGGCGTTATTGCGTGACATAGAAGAGGCGAGGAGGTGCTGATATGCCATCAAGGGGTTGCCGGACCAGCCCGCTTGACGCGCAACATCGCTGAGGAGTCCCAACTGGGATGGCTGCTGTTGCTGCTGCTGCCGCTGCTGTTGCTGTTGCTGAAAGAAGCTGAGCGCGTTGAGAAGCTGTTCTGGCACAACTTGCTGTTGTTGGCCATTGAGGTGTGGCTGTTGCTGTTGTTGTTGTTGCTGCTGTCGCAACGCGGCTGTAAAGCCCGGAACCATAGTTGGATGCAGGCGCTGATCCGGGGTTGGTGCGGCTGGGCTGTTGTTGCGCGACATGCACGGGGGTTTGGAGAGGGGCAGGTAGGTCCCGACGGATCAAAAATTCACCGGCAAGTTTCGAATGCCAAGAGCTGTTGCGTGGAACTGTTGTTGGCAGTTTGGGTAATGGTGCTGCCTGCTGTCTGTGTCTCACGTCGTCTGTTCGCTTGGGAACGGAAGGGGGCTTCTTGTGTGATCAGCTTGTCTTGGCTTGCGAGGCGTCAGCTCTGCGGGCTTAACTGCGACCAGAGTGTGAGCTGGAAGGTGTTGGTGTTTGCGTTGCGACTGCACGACAAGCGACGTCGGCATCGATGAAAGAAATGATGGGGCAACAAGCGCGCGTGTGTGAGAGCGAGGTGATGTCAAATCAAAGAACAACCCCCAATAAAGAGTGTCGTGCGAAGGAAAATGCGACGTTGCGACAAGTCGAGCACAAAGGCAACGTCGGACAAAGTCATCTGAAGCGTTCGTGAACGCCACTCGCGCGAACGCAACTAGTCTCATACAGATTCTGTTTGCTGACGTCAGAGCCATGAAGAACAAACCTGTGTTGTGACGTCAGAGTGGGTATTGGGGCTGTGGGCAGAGAAGGGAGGGCGCGCTGCGATGATGAGTGCGATGTGGGGTGGGTGATGCAAGGCAGGTGGTTGGTTTGCCACGAGAGTGAGAAGCAGGCAGGCAGGCGTCGTTGAGAAGGCAAGAACACAGAAGAGTGGTGCAAGTCGAGAAAGAGGGAGGAGGGGAACAGAAGGTGGCGGCCGACGAATAAAGAGAGCAAGCAATGTGGGGTGGTGAAGCGACAATGATGGGCATGAAAATGACCACCACCGACGATGGCGTTGATGTTGGTGATTCCACAGATGATATGAGAAACAGCAGTGATTGGCGGGTGGAACGAACGTTGAACGTTACACCGCCACCATCCCACCATGCATGGAGAAACAAACGGTGGCACGCACACGCGCATGAGAAGGAGGGAAGGGGGTTTACCGGTTGTTTGTGGCGATGTGTGCTTGGTGTGTGCAACGTGTGTTCGTGTCGAGAATCCACGCAGGCGTCACGCGACGTGTTCGTGCTGGTCTTGTGTTTTTGAGTTCGTGCGTGATGCGGGTAGCCAGAGAGAGAGAGAGGGAGGGAGGGAGAGGCGGTGCGCGCTTCTGCGTGGGTGTGCGTGTGCGTGTGTGTGTGTGCGAGTGCAATGGGTAGGATGTGCGAGGCAGCAAAGAGCGAGTGGGAAGAAGTGACAGTGGTGAGTGACTTACTTGCTCACTACTGTGGGCAATGTGTGGTTGAGGGTCAAGTCGGAAACCATGTTCGTGTCAATGTGCGTGTGGATCCAGGCTTACAGGCCAAGCCAAACAAGGAAATGGGCGGGTGCGTGTTCACGAAAAACAGGAGAGAGAGAGAGAGAAGTGGGGGAAGGGGAAGAGGAGATTGACAAGGCATGGCAAGAAAGGGAAGACCGACCAATGGTTGGCGCTGCTGCTGCTCCCTTGCTCAGGAGAAGGAGAAGACAAGATTGAGAGAAAGCAAAGGAAGAGGCTGGACGACGGCGGCAGCGGTGGCAATGGTCAATGATGGGCCAAGCACAAGGGAAATAGGCGAGTGACACCCGCAAGTGTGCGTGCGTGCGTGTGAGAGGATGATACAGGAGTGTGTATGGCGCGCGAGAGAAAGTCTTTTGTGGGTGTGCTCACGTCTTGTGGAGTGCGATGGCTTTGGAACAACACGAGAAATGGCAAGCGAGCAACAAGGCCGTTCGTGTGTGTGTGTGTGTGTGCGGCACAAAACAACACACTTCAAGTGCACGAACAACAAGCAAGCGAGCAAGTGGCCAAGACACGCACCACCAACGACCAAAGACAAAAAAGCTCGAGCCGTTGGCGTGGATGCCATTCCGAACGCCAAACACACCCGTGGCGATAAACTACACACCGAAAAGGAGACAGCACCAACCAACCTTCTTGTGTGCTTGCGCGCGTATGTGTATGTGTATGTGTATGTGGTGTGGTGCGTGTCGAGGAGAGGAATGGTGTGCGTGGGTGTGTGTGTGTGTGGGTGTGTGGTGACAATGCCGCTCTTTCAGGGTCAAACGGATTGCACTTGTGTGCGGGGTGAACGAGAGCCCACCTCTCCTTTTCGCGATGGCACAAGATCGGTTCGTGCGTGCGTGCGTGTGTTTGGTGGCGCTGGTGTTGATTGGTTGTTGTTTGGTGGGAGCGGGGTGAGTGGCGTGGGTGCGAGTGTTTAGTTGCCCCAAATGGGTGTGGGTGTTGGTGTGAGGAAAGGTGGCAGACTGGGGTTGGGTCCGACGCACGCCAAAACAACAGGAACAAGCAAGAAGGGGAAAAATAAAGGCAAACGAGCTGGAAACGAAAAAGCAGCACCCGCTCGCGCACTCGCTCGGCTGCGCGATCTGGAGCTTTCGCCTGCTTTCCCCCTGCTTTCGTGCGGGGCGTTGTTTGCTTGGCTTGCCACGAACGACCAAGCAAGCACGCAAGCAAGCACGCAAGCAAGCACGCAAGCACGCGAAACAAAGAAAGCAAGACAAGGCACACAAAGCACGAAGGGAAGTGTGTGTGTGGGAAAAACAAAGCGACTGGCAGAAAGTAGGGAAGTGGTTGACCAAAGCATGCAGGTCGAACCCAACCAACCACAACCGCTGCGAAACACCAACCAACAAGCATGCACGGCTGACATGCAACGTGATGCACGAGCAATCAAGCAGCGGGGAAGCGAGGCTGTGGGCGAAGCGCAACAACTTGCAGACCTACCTGCAGGATGGCGGTGAGCAATTGTGCTTAGAATGTAAGGTTGCGTCAGGATGTGTGGCGCTGCAGCTCTGTTGTGGCAAGCCAGCTGGCGAGATTTATTGGGGTGGACAATGGGGCGCGTGCTTGTGTGCAGGCATGCACGCGACACCCCTGGCAAGCAATGAAACAGCCACTTCCAAATGGTCGCGATACATGCAACTCCCGGGGCAGAATCGACAACGTGCAGGTGGCGATTGGTGCTAAGTTTGAGGGGAAAACGGGACAGGGTTTCGAAACGAACTCCATGCGTGCGTAGCGGGGCAGCGGTGATGTGGCGTATTGCACAACATAAAAATGTATTGTGTTGAGTCAGCAAAAACACCCACACAGTGACATTACTGCAATTCATGCTGTTTTCCATCATTCACCACTCAGCAACGCCACCAACAACGCCACCAACAACACCCAACGCAACCACACAAGGAAGCGATGAGCGCTGAAGTGAGCAACGAGGCAGGAGGCAGAGGAGGGGACAACAACCACCAGCTCAAGGCAGGCAAGGCAAGGGAGGACAGCAGCGCCTTGTTGGTGTGGCAGGAGGTGGAGGCGCTGGCACAGCAGGTGGACCAGGAGAGCGTCGTGGTGCTGGCAACCATGAGCATCATGCCGGAGAAGATACAGACGCTACTCAAGTGCCTCACCTTGCTCCTTGGCATGGGCCCAGGCCTGCCATCGCCCGGCAAAGCCAAGCGAAAGAAGAAGAAGAAGAAGAAGAAACAGGTGAGGACGAAGGCGCAACACAAGCAACACACCACAACCAAAACGGACACCGCCACCAAGAACAAGGCATCAAAGGAACAGGCGCAAAACGACAGCAGCCGTAGCAGCAGCAGCAGCACGGAAGACCATGACGGCGATGACGCCGACGAAAGCTCTGGCAGCAGCAGCAGCAGCAGCAGTGACAGCGATCACTCGGGAGAATCGGGAAGCTGGTATGGACACGAACACCACAGCGGCGCATTTGTCGAGTGTGCCAGGGACCTGTTGAAGAAGAGCTTCTTCACCAGCATTCTGCTGGAAACCCGACAAACGTTCTGTCCCCAGCACAACCTTGAAAGGGCCAGGAAAGAACTGACCCATCTCGACAAGCACAGCATGTTTGGGCTTTCCCGCGCCGCTGGCTTCATCTACACCTGGTGCATTGCAGTTGCCTACCATCCCCAGCCGCTCCCTTCGCGTCGCTGAAGCCAGTGTTTGTGTTTGTGTTTGTGTTTGTGTTTGTGTTTGTGTTTGTGTTTGCTTGTGTGTGCATTTGTTTGTGTTTGCTTGTGTGCATTTGTGTGTATAAGTGTGTGTATATAAGTGTGTCTGCGTCGTTTAAAATTTGATTGGTCGTTTGTGTGTTTGCTTGTGTGCATTTGTGTGTGTGTGTATGTGTGTATGCATGCATCCTCGTGTGCTGTGTGTTTTGCGGTGCTGTTGTGCGTGCACGCTTCCCGGCCCCTTGTATTTCCTATCACTGCTATTGAGGTGCCTTTGATTTCCTTCCCTGCTCTGTTCATCTGGTTTACTGCGTTGCTCCACGCAGCACTGCTTCAAAACCTTCAACCTGCCATCCTCCAAGCGTTGCTGGCACGCATGTCCTTTGCTTCTGCCCTGCCATGTGCCTGCAGTCATATCACTGCGTTCCCTTTTGTTTTGTGTGCATTTTGGTTCTTTATATTCATTCTTACGCGATGCATCTTGTAATCTATTAGCCTGCCCGCCTGCCGACCTGTGCTCACGTGCGGTTGTGTGTGAATGATGGTGTCGGCACGACGCTCAACAACAAAACCCAAAACCCGAAAGCAAGGCACAGCACAACAAGGATGTGTGTGTGTGTGGGGGGGAGAACAACGTACACAGGGCTGTGGCAACGACCAAAGATGTGGCACAGAGGCAAACCCACAACAGAAAGCACCTAGTATATTGACACCAAATGAATGTGCAACCACACAACAACAGGCAAGAACAACACAAGGAGGAGGGAAAAGGAAGGTTGGTTAAACAGGATCAGGAGCACACACACACACATAGACACACGCACACACACACACACACGCACACACAGAGACACATAGACACACGCACACACCACACACACACACACACACACACACATACACATATACACACACAGACAGACGCACGGTCATGCTGGTGGGCGCTGCGGCTTGCGTGGCTTCACGGGCTTCCCACCATGCACAGACATGGACGCACGCCGAAGCGCCGTCGATACGCTTGCAAGCCGCTCACGCGTGGACATTGCACCACCACCACTACCGCTGCTGACGCTATGGCTGAGGTTGCTGCTACCGTTCAACGTGCCACTCACAGTGTGCGGATGCCTTGCATGAAGTGCACTGCTCCCACGCTGCTGCTGCTGTGGTGTTGCGTGCGTCGGCTGTTGTGACTGCTGTTGTGACTGCTGTTGTGGTGGGTGTTGTGGTTGCTGCTGCTGCTGTGCGCGCTTTGCATTTCTGCGGGCAAGAGCTGCGCGCCGGGCCGCTTCCAGTGGTGACTCCCTTTAGGCGCGAGGGTGTGGGGTGTTGTGGTGGTGGGGGTGGTTGCGAGATGAGATGAGATGATGATGGTGGTGGGGAGGGCAAAGTCACACACACACACACACACACACACACACACACACGCACGCACACACACACACACACACACACACACACACACGCACACACACACACACACACACACACACACACACACACACACACACACACACACACACACACACACACACACACAAC